TACACATGTATGTATAGCAAATGCGTCGTGTACTACCATTTCCCGAACTGTATAAAGCAAACGAGGTCCTGTTGGATGTTGAGAAGTTCCCGGCAGTTCCACTAATTGCATGTCAAAGACTGCAGTGCCTGATGAAACACTGAATTTTGAGGGTTAACGGTGCTGTACGGAAGGCAAGTCGAAATCAGTATATATATAAAACTTGATATACATACAACCCGAACCATAAACGTCGCTGGCCTAGTATTATGAAGGATGATCGTAAACACAACAGGGTAAGTAACGAACGGAAAGAGGAACGAAGATTGGAACATTGATTCAAAACGAACGTGTCAGGGTAAGAACTTCTCGTCGTCAACTGTTCCCAGCCTGCAGTCAGCTATTTGTCTTCCTGGGCTTCCAACAGCTTCAGCCGAGCTTGGAGGGTAGCATTTTTGCGCATCAGGTCCGCCTTCTCTTGTGCAGCCTCTTCGCGGCCTTTTGTAATACCCTCCGTATAAGCGACTCTGTCTTTGTTCTTTACGTGAACACAAGGTAAGATGACAAGTAACCTAAAATATGAAGACCAAGCTGACCTGTCGCTGTTTCTTGATCTTTGTCTCCAACTTCGTCCATGCCCCTTCAAACTTCCCAAACATCTCCCGAGCGAGAGACTTTGCCGGGACAGTCAGGCTCCCATCGGCAGCCTTTTCCCCCCCATCCCATACTTTTTGAAGATGTAATACAACCATATCCCAGACGGATTCTGCATACCAATAACATTGTGCAGTTACCAGATGGTACTGAGGCTTGGTTTCAGTGACAGTGGAGGCTGCGACGAGGAGCCTTATGAAAGGCAAGGGATGTTTGGCAAATTCGATGTATCGCCGAATTCCATATTGATCTGAGCTAGTCGTGAATGCCTCTTCATCTCGGGACAGTTTTACACTGTCGCGAGCCTTGCTGGAGAAGGACGGTGACGAAGAGAAGGATGTTTTCTTGGCGGTCGGGCGGTCGGCATCGCGATCAATGAGGGCATAAGCTTTACGGGGTACTGGCGCGGTAACATCAGGATCCACCTCTTCGAGCTCGACGAGGATAGCCTCGTGGAGCCAGTTGGTGGTGTACTTTATATGCTCCAACCGGATGACATTGACCCTGTCGGTTTCACCCGCCGCCATCAACGCGGAGATACAGGCAGATAAGGTCATTGAGTGTATTTCGCCTGTAGGTTCGCCTTCGAAGAACACGACGCTGGAGGTGTTGGTGTTCGACATAGTGATTGTGAAGGGGACGGGAAGAGAGGTAAAGGACCAGACTTTGGGAGATGGCGGTTATAAGTGGAGGACATGTACGAGGAGCTTGGGCATCTACTTGGTCCGGCATGATGGTTGACGTTGATCTCCGGCATGTTTGTGACTCTGATATACTGTCGGTCACTCGAAATTTGCGCCTCGCAGACTACCGTAGAAACATTCAATGAGTGACCAAATATGAAGCGGACTCGTAGACGCACCCTGTATAAACTCAAGTCAAGTGTTCCCCTGAATTGCAGAATCTCCTCAAACGTGTAAACAACTCGCTTCCGGAACGTTGAACCCAAACTAACCGAATTAAGTTCCACGGCACTTACGTGCTGCCTTCTTATAAGCGCTGAGAACAATCATCCTGTAGAGCATGTGCGCAGTTTGTATTGATGGTATCATTGTACCCTCGATTTCGATTATCAATCAATAGGCGCCCCCCGACCCTAGTCGGCACATTATCATGTTAAGCAGGAGTTCAGAGACGCAAGTACTGATTACTTATTGAAAGCAACCAAATCATCCGTATCCATCTCTTTCGATAGAAACTGGCCGCTATGAGTGTCAGGTCGTTCTAGGATTTGTCAAAACAGATCCTTGGGAATTTTGAGACTTTCTTGCGAAAGCAGCTAGTGATCATCAAGGATATCCGCTGACAAGCGTTTTCACATTGCAGTTGAAGGCTGCCCACTGATCAAAAGGTTCAAGTCAAAAGGTTCTATGCGTGAAGAAACCAAGCTGTGCATTACCTTCTACAAGCCGGCATATTCGTTATGTATGTATCACCAGCGTGGTACATACTGTCACCCCTGGACAGTATAGAGCGACGAGTCATGTTCGACGTTGAGAAGTTCTCGTTCTCATCAATTGGATATCAAGGATTCTGCGATGGCTGACACTGGTTTTCGAGAGTTAGCAGTACTGTACGGAAGGCAAGTTGGAATCAGTATATATGGAAAACTTGAGATACATGCAGCCCAAACCATAGACGTTGCGTGCCCAGTACTATCAAGAAGATCATCACAGTAACAGAGAGTAAGCAATGGAAAGAGGAACGAAGATCGGAAAATTCATTGAGAACGAACGTGTCAGGGAAAGAACTCTCCTCAGTCAACTGCACCTAGTCTGCAGCCAACTGTCTTCCTTGCTGGGCCTCCAACAGCTTCAGCCGAGCTTCAAGAGCGGCGTTTTGGCGCTTCAGATCCTCTTTCTCTTGTGCAGCCTCTTCGCGCCCTTTTATAACACCCTCCAGAGAAGCATCTCTGTTGTCTTTCTCCCTCTTATCCTAATGCGAGCACAGGGTGAGATAGTGAATAACCTGCAAAGTCGACGAGTGAGCTGACCTGCCGCCATTTCTTAATATCTGTCTCCAATTCCGTCCACGCTCCTTTAAACTTCGCAAACAATTCCAGAGCGACACCTCGTGCTGGTACTGCCCCATGAACGGCCTTTTCCCATCCATCATACCAAACATTTTGAAGATGCAATACGGCAACATCCCAGACGGACCTTGCATACCAATAACAGTGCGCAGTGAATGGATTGTATCTGGGCTTGGTTTTGGCCACAACGGAGGCTGCGACGAGGAACTGTATAAAAGGCCAAGGACGCGTGTTAGAGTCGATATGTCGTTGAACTTCATATCGATCTGAGCCAGTGGTGAATGCATCTTTGTCCCGGGACAGTCTCACATCGTGGCGAGCCTGACTGGAGAGGGACGGTGATGAGGAGAACCGCGATCTCTTGGCGGGAGGACGGTCAGCATCGCGATCGACGAGAGCATAAGCTTTCCGAGGCGAGGCAGTGTCAGCATCCACCTCTTGGAGCTCAACAAGAATGGCCTCGTGGTGCCAGCCTTTGGTGTACTTTATATACTCCAATCGAATGATATTGACTTTGTCCGTCTCACACGCCGCTATCAACATGGAGATACAGGCGGATAAGGACATCTCATGCATTGCGCCTTTGGGTTCGCCTTCGAAGAACACGGTGCTGGGGGTATCGGTGTTCGACATCGTGATCGCGAGGTGGACAGGAAGAGAGGTATAGAGCCAGACCTTGGGAGATGGCAGTTATAGGTGAGGACATGCACGAGGAGCTTTGAGGCATCTATTCGGTCCGGCGTGATGGTTTATCGCTGATAGCACTGTGTTTGTGACGCTGATAGACTGTCGCTCAGTCGAGATTTGGACCTCGCGAACTATACGGAACATTCGATACACGACCAAATATAACGTACACTCGTAGATACACTTTGCATGAAGTAAAATCAGGCGTTCCCTTGGATTGCAGAATCTCCCTAACCTTGTAAAGACTTCGCCTCCGAAACGTCGAGCCAAAATCGAGCCAAGTCAGGTTTCTTTCGTGGCACTTACGTGCTGCCTTCTTATAAGCGCTGAGAACGACGATCCTGTAGAGCATGTGCGAAGCTTGTATTCTGTAAGATGTGTGTTGGAGAGCTTGATAGCTGGACCAAAAAGTTTGGACCCCACTAAGAAGGGACTTCGAAAAGTATGTCGACGGCGATCCAGGAGTATGCAGTATTCCAGATGAACTCTGAATTCCGTACACTATAATTGATAGGCACCCCGATCTTCTGTGACTACTAGGCTTCCACTTAATCACATTCTCGTGTCAAGAAAGAGTTCTGAGATGCGAGGATGACTGACTTATCGAAAGCAACCAGACCCCCCCCCTGTTCACCCCTTCCGATAAGGGCTGATCACCAGATGTATTAGGTCGCTTTCGGTTTGCCAAAACAGCCCCTCGCGGAAAAATCAAAAGTAAATAGTGGAAGTGCAGCGCTCGGCTATAACCCTGGAAAGGATCTTGGGGATACGCTGACATTAATATATTTGAATGACACTTTCACAGCATGAAAATGAGCCAACACACCTTCAGGGCGCAGAGCGTGCTTGTAGCCAATGTTACGCAACGAAATATCGCACTAGACACCAAAATATTTTGGACCATCTTTATCCTTCGAAATTCAGCGCAGTTTGGAGCTCAGTTTATCCCGAGGTTCTTTGAAGTTGCTACTTGGGGCAGTACTGCAAGTTGTGTGCCAAAATGTCCTCGCAAAGGATCCGCTCCAAAGGATCTGTTCAGTGATCGCCAACTAGGGTATCCAGCATGTCGAGTTTGAGTCTTGATGGATGGAGCATACAGCGACACATGGGGACGTATGAGAGAAATTCGAGGAAGATTAATGAGTTGAGACAACGACATTCCGTCCGTGCTCGGGATGAACTTGCGAGGAGTTGGTGGTTCGTCGTCATCTTACAAATTCAAATTCACACCGGATTAATGAGAATTTTTGGGCGGCGAAAGTTCACACAATAAGGTGACGTTTTGGGTGGTCAAATTTAGCAGAGATTTTGCATAAAACTTTAGATTCTCCGGAAATTCATCTCTGGCGGGTGGTATGAGTTATAGATCCTCCAAAACACATAATTTGTTGACCCCCAAATTCCACTCCCAAAATTCGGGTTTGCCAAAGATTGTCATCTTCCCCGTGCGATTGGAGTGAATCCAATTTCATTTGCAAAGGCCAAAAATCCATATCCTTCTAGAAACTGGATTATGCTAATAGCCTGCTGTGCAAAATATTAGAGCATATCAACTTAACAAGGTGGCTGGCCAGACTGGCGCAATGAGCCAAATAATCTGCAGGGCGCAAATCTCGACCGAAAATTTTTTCCTTACTCTCCAGTGATACAGCACCAACTTGTTTCGAACAAGTAAGCTCAAGGTTGCAAACCCCACACGCTACCACTGCGCCATGGCTGCTGTAACGTCAAATGTGCATCTTTTAGAATATTGTTTATAGTCAACCGGAAATGGAAAATAAATGAGTCTTTGTTTGCTCCTATTGAAGTCAAGCGCCGAAGCCAATGATGAAGAGAGGCTTTTCCCAACGTTGAACACGACGACAACGACAATCCCTACGGCCAGCGAGACCGACGCGTTGTAGCTCACGTACTGCGTCGCTCGTTGTGGTCTTCAATCTTTCACGACGAGGACGGCTTCTCAAAATGTCTGGCAAAGCGCCACCGAAAGGCCCAAGAGCGCTGCGAGGAGGACCGCCCCCGCCGCCCTCCAGCATCGCGGGACCGAGCTCCACAGCTTCAGGACCTTCTCTGGCAGCCTCCACAACGAAGAAGATACCTACAGGACCTCGGAGTCTTTCAAATCCAAATGCACCTTACGCGGGACGCACATCGAAGGCTACCTACAGGAATGGGACGCCAGAGGGCAGAGGGACGGGCATTAATGGTGGAATAAATGGGGTGGGAACGAAGAGCGTGCATTCTTCAACATCATCTACGAATGCTGATACATGGATCCCCAATGGCGCTGTGAATGGTGTAAAGACTGTGAATAGTCCGCCGGTACCAGGTATTTTGGGTTCTAATCGGGCTGCAATCTCTTTCTCAATGCCACGGAGGCCATCTGGTAGTGGTCCCCCACCGCCCACTCATCCGCCGCCGCCGCCGCCCCAGCCGACAAAATCACCACCCCCGCCGCCTCCACCCAGCTCAACTCCGCCTCCTCCGCCTCCCCCGGCAACTCCCCCGCCGCCCCCGCCGAGTATAGATCCACCTCCGCCACCACCGCCGAGCGAGTCGGTACCTCCGCCTCCACCTCCCGAAGTTCCCCCGCCGCCTTCGGCAGTGTCACTACCTATATCAACTCCTCCTCAAACCATCTCACCCTCAGAAAACATTGCATCGTCATCCTCACGTGTACCTCCGCCTTCCTCTTCACCACCTAGACGACCTCCTTCTCCCCCAAGGACTTCCCGGCCCGTCTCACCCGTTCCACCGTCCCCATCGCCTCCGCCCGTCCCTCACTTTACTTCAATAAAACTTCCTCAACGCGTAGCAAGTCCGTCACCCCAACCCCCTTCCGATATCCTATCTCCTTCCTCTCCGCGTGAACTAACCCCGCCTCCGCCTCCACCTTCACCTCCCCAGCGACGGCGTACCGTTCCTACGTATGACTTGCCTCCCTTACCTGACTGGCCACCTCCCAAGTCAGATTATCCACCAGTCCGCTCATACAAGGTCCTACACGATCCATCCATACACAAGCTGCCATTTCCCTCCAATGTCAATGACTTAGTGGGGTATTCAAGTGATGGCCCTCCAGCCGCGCCGGGAGCCAGTTCAAGTACTGCGCTAACACCACCATATTTTCAGCACCTCATCTCATGTATGCCAGAGTATGTATCCGCCTCTGTGTTTCAAGACCGCGTCAAAGGAAAAGGAAAGGGCAAGGAGATCGTGTATCGGTACGAGGGAGAGGTATTGAACCGTGGAGAATGGATATCTGTTCCCGGGCATGGAGCTTTATGGATACGAGAGCCTGAAATTCCTGGAAAGCCTCCAGATCCGCGTCTGAACTCTAATGTTAAGCGACGGCCGCCGCGTGAAGAGCTAGGATATGTTACATATGAGGTACGAGCCTTCAGTTTTCGAAATAGTTGTCACTAATTATTGCATAGTACGAACACGGCATCTCAACGACTCCTCCACCTCCCACTGCTCTACTTCTAACAAACCTATCACCTCTAACCCCAAATACTCAGCTACGGACACATCTTGGCGGGTATGGACCCATCAAGGTCTTTGAACCGAAGATCGATAAGGAGAATGGCATGGCATTAGGTGTGGTCTGGGTTGACTTTCGTACGCACGAGGACGCCAAACGATGTTTCGATGGTATCTGTGGGCCGGGCTTAGACATTCGAGGCATTGCAGGCAGCTTGAAGACACTTCTTGGAGCCAGTGCTGAAGATGTGAAAGTCATATTCGATGGGCAAGGTAAGAGAGTTGCGGCAGTCATCAAAGAATTGGAAGACAGGAAACGAAAGCGGAAAGAAACGACTAGGAAGAACGCAACAACCAAAGACTCTCCTTTACCCACAGTCCCCACGCCGAAGCAGAACGGGACGCCTCGACCGAATGCGTCAACACCTTCCAGTAGCAGCAAACCTGCTTACCATCCTTTACCATCTAATCCACGACTTCCACATGCTCTTCCTCCGAATCCTACCAAACAACTCGGACCAGCAGTGGGCTCGAGCTCCCTCGCGCTGCATAATCCGCTTAAAGCGTCTCCCATGAGGCCGGCCTTGGCGAACGGAACCTCGGTACCAGCGATTCCTCAGCTTCTGAAGGCCAGAGAGAAAGCGGCGGCGGAGATGAAGCACGAGAAAGAGAAGACCTCAGAAAAACAAGCAGGCATAGACAAAAGACGGATGATGGACTCGTTCAAAGCGAAGCCGCGGGAGCGATTGAAAGAGTGGGAGGGAAAGGGCTCAGATGGCCGTCGCGGGCGGGATAAATATGAACCTCGGTACCCAGAACGTCGAGCGCGCTCGCCTTCGCCTAATCCACTACATTACTTGGACAAGGGGTACACGGAGGACGAAGTAGAGAAAGCGCTGTTGACAAATGGGATGGAGTACATCATCGTAGAGTTTGAAGACGGCAAACGCAGTGGTGGTGGTGTCTCGGATGCAGAGGTGAGGGACTTCTTCGAAAGTTTTACACCCGAGAAGGTCATGTCGGCGCCCAAGTATGGGCTGGTGTTTGTGACCTTCACGGATCCTGAATCGGCGAAGCGGGCTTTAGTCTACTTCGCCGGATCTCGTAGGCGGTTAGCGTATAGGGATGTGAAGCTTCGTCCTGGTGAGAAGGGAGTATTTCATGGTGCGTTACTTGATTCTTTCATTGAATTTCTGTCTTGACGTCTCTTAGGCTTTGATGGGCGACGTCGAACGGTGTGGGATGATGCGGAGATGGTGGACGAGGCTGCGCGCCTGATTGTTGCAGAGCTCAAACAGATACTGACGAAGGACGTCAAGGATCGGGTGGTCGGAAACGAGGTCAAACGGTTGATGCGGGCGGGGGTTAGAGAGAAAGAGGACGAGAAGGAGGGAGAGAAGGGAGCGAAGACTCTTGATTTGAAGGGGTTGAGTTTTCGAAAGCGGCGGCGAGAAGGCGAGGATGGAGGGAGGGAGAGCAAACGTGTTAAGGTCGTTGACGAAAACGTGGATGTCCATATCCATGACGATACGGTGAAGGTCAAGCGAGTGAGAGAAGCCGATGTGGCGGAGGAGGGGGAGGAAGAGGAGCGCCCCAGGAAGAAGGGAAAAATGGAGAAGAAGGTGCAGAAGAAGGTCAAAGGCAAGAAGGACAGACTTGTCGTCGAGGACGAGGAAGAAGATATTGTCGTCGTCGTCAACGGCCGCAAGATGCCGACTATCCGGTTGGAAACGACGATCTCGCCCTCAACATCAAGGTCATCTTCGCCATGTTCTGTACCGCCAACGCCAGCGCTCGTGGTAGAGTCCGAATCCGAATCTGAGGAAGAAGAGGTGGTGGAAGAAGAGGACCTGGGCGTCTTTAAGGACGACGAAGACTGTTTCTTTGCCAAGATCGCGCTATCTCATCCTGAGAAAGACTTTGAGAGTCTGGACAACAATCTTAAAGCGGAGCTGGGTGTTCCACCGCCGCCTGTCATAACACCTCGGCTACGGATACATGCCACGGGGTCAGCACGGACGGAAGGATTCTACGAAATTAGTCACGCGCAGAAGGCCGAGTATGTATCGCAGTATCAAGCTCGCTCTTCTGCTGTATCGTCCAAGGTCGTCGTTGATCCGGCACCAAACGACAGTCCTTCGAAAGCTGGTGTCACGTCCTCGCGGGAGAATCGAGCAAATGCCCGTCGACGTGCCCAAGGTCTCGAGGAGATGAACCAACTCAATCGTGCTGTAGCGCTGTCCAAATCTACTGCACATATGAACTCGAAAGATAACCCTGCTCAGGAGATGCTGCTCAAGTTCAACCAGCTGCAATCAAGGAAGAAGCACCTGCGGTTCGCGCGGAGTCCGATTCATGACTGGGGCTTGTATGCGATGGAAAGGATCAGCCGTGGGGAGATGGTTATTGAGTATGTGGGCGAGATCGTCCGGGCGCAGGTGGCAGAGAAGCGGGAGAAGGCGTATGAGCGGCAGGGTATTGGAAGCAGTTATCTATTTAGGATCGATGAGGACCTGGTGGTGGATGCCACGAAGAAGGGGAATCTAGGGTGAGTCTGACCACTTTTATTGTCTGGATTACGGACTGATTGACGTGCGCTCCGTAGTCGGCTGATAAACCACTCTTGTGATCCCAACTGCACCGCCAAGATCATCACTATCAGCGGGGAGAAGAAGATTGTGATTTACGCTAAGCAGGATATCGAACTCGGGGATGAGATAACTTATGGTGAGCGACTTTGCTTATCAATCATTACATCGTAGGCTCATGTACTATTTTTAACAGATTATCACTTCCCCTTCGAACAAGACAAGATTCCCTGTCTTTGCGGGTCCGCAAAGTGTCGTGGTTTTCTCAACTGATCCGTCATCCGGGGTTCTGTGTACGGAACTCTTTGCTTTGTCGTCGAATGTTGTCGTATTTTACCGTTTGCTTTTATTGGTTTTTTTATATCATTCATCTGTGTGTCTTTGTTCGCCTGCATATGTATATAATTATACCTCACATCATTGTCATTTATACTGCAATGCAATTGGCTCGCTGGTTCACTGGACTAATTCAGAGAGTTGATAATGTTTTACGGTGAACGCATGGTTACCTACTAGCTCTAATTTTCAATGTTTTGGGAATTGGTGAAGATATACGTCAGAAAAGAGTACTGTATAGCAATGAAATAGTCCGTTGCACATATCACTTTTTTATGACATGGATTCGAAGAGGAGGGAGGAGATGATCATGA